AAGAAAGAAAGAAAGAAAGAAAGAAAGAAAGAAAGAAAGAAAGAAAGAAAGAAAGGATTCCCAGTATTCAGTTGATGAATGCTATAATTTTCAGAGAAATTGTTCTGATCCATTTACACTTCTAGTGTAAACATGTATTTTCAGGAGCACTCTTATATTTCAGAAACTGATGGTGGATACCACCTTTGAGAACTGGAGAGCATTGATTAAAGTCTTTAGTTAGAATTGGAAAATGAGTAAGTGTATTATTCCAGCTGTCCATAGGTTGAAAAAAAATATCCCCCAATCTAAACAATTTATATTTTCCCTAAAGCAAAGAACCATTTTGTGTCTTTGGTTTATGGAATGATTTGATCATAAAACAGCCTCATTCCTACAAAGATCCCCGGCACTCTGTAATAAGTGCAAGTGATCGTTCAGTGCCCCAGGGCTACTAAATTCACCAGGTACTTGTATAGTTCTCCCATCCACTTTTTGTTTTTTGTACAACTACCAGAATTTTGAACTCCTGGATTTGTATCTTCTTTGTCATTCTCTCTTTTGTCTTTCTCTGCATTTGAATAATTTGGGACAATATTTCTTAATTCAACACTTCTTTTAATGCTTCAAAAGGGTGGGAAAACTTGGCAGCATTTACCAGCGAAACAAACACAAAACAACAGCTCTAACATTGGCCAATAAATGCTGCCAGGTATAAAACTTGAGGAACCGTTTTGTAGGTTTGCCTAACAAACATTTTTATTTTGTTTATTTTATTATTGTGTATTTATTATGATTATCCTTGAGGACACATTGGAAATTGTATACTATAGCCTAGTAATGGTCCTTTGTACATTTACAGAAGTTTCCTTATTCAGCAAATAAAAGGGTTTTTTTTCATCCGTCTTTTCATTTTTAGATGTTTTGTGTAATGCTTATATTAAGATACTACAGAAGAACCAAGGGAGAAGCTTCTTCGAGGAACCCATGGAGATACTAAGATGATTTGCAAAAGCCCTAATCTCCTTAATCCACAACCAGGTTTCTGCTGCCAACGCAATTGATAGGGCTTAGTTTGGTGGCAGCGTTGATTAGGTAAAGATCAAGTGTTCTTTGAGTCAGCCTTGGCTCCTGGTGACTTCATAGACACGTTCATGTAGTTTCCTTGACTGTGACCCAGAAGGGCTTAGCCACAGACACTCTGGGGATTTGCTTTTTTTTTTATATACAGTGGTACCTCGGGTCACGAACTTAATTCGTTCTGTGACTCTGGTCGCGACCCGAATTGGTCGCGACCCAAATCAAATTTCCCCATAAGGTTCACTGTAAATACGGTTAATCCATTCTGAACCATATGTGTTTTTTTTTAAACCACAAAAATATGACACAA